GCCAAGTATATGGTCAATGAGCAGTAATATTTTGAAAGGAATCATTTTTTTATGAGCAGTAGGTCTCTTAACAGGGGGCTTAGAGTATTCAGTAAATCATATTGTAAATAGATGTGCTGTCGACCAGGCTTTGTTTTTCCATTTATAGAGCAGAGGCAGCATAGATTCAATACTATTCTTAAGGGCCTAGGATTTTCAGAATGGTAAATAAACATTGGCTTCAACTTAAAGTCAGCTATATTAGTCCCTAACAAGAGAGTCAGCCTGTCCTTCGAAGCTTTGAAGCCAGGCATTAACTTCTCTCTAGTTATGAGATAGCATCTTAGACCAGAAGGCAGTTTCTTGTACATTGAAAATCTGTTTAGTATAGTTACTCATTAGTAATCTGTGTCACTTAGATCTTCTGGATAATTTGCTGCAGCTTCTATATCAGTATTTGCTGCTTCGCCTTGCACATTTATGTTATGGAGATGGCTTCTTAAACCTCATGAACCAACCTCTGCTAGCTTCAGACTTTCCTTCTGCAGTTTCTTCACCTCTCTCAGCCTTCATAGAATTAAATACAGTTAGGGCCTTGCTCTGAATTAGGCTTTGGCTTAAGGGAATGTTGTGGTTGGTTTCTATCCAGACTACTAAAACTTTCAGCCAGAAGGCCGTTTTGCTTTTTTAGTATTTGTGTGTTCACTAGAATAGCACTTTTAATTTCCTTCAAGAACTTTTCTTTTGCATGTACAACTTGGCAAAGTACAAGAGGCCTAGCTTTTAGGCTATCTTGGCTTTTGACATGCTTTCCTTATCAGGCTTAATCATGTCTGGATTTTGATTGAAAGTGAGAGAAGTGTGACTCTTCCTTTCACTTGAACACTTAAATGCTATTGTAGGGTTATTATTTGCCCCGATTTCAATATTGTGTCTCAGGGAATGGGAAAGCCCAAGGAGAGGGAGAGGGATGGGAAGGGCCCATTGGTAGAGTAGTCAGAACACAGTTACTGATTAAGCTCAGTGTCTTATATAGGTGTGGTTCGTGGCATCCCAAAACAATTACAGTATTAATATCAAAGATCACTAATCATAGGTAACCGTAACGAATATAATAATAATGAAAAAGTTTGAAATATTGTGAGAATTACCAAAATGTGACAAAGAGACATGAAGTGGGCAAATGCTACTGGAAAAATGGTGCCAAAAGACTTGCTTGATGCAGTGTGACCACAAACCTTCAATTTATAAAAAAATGCAGTATTTGCGAAGTGCAATAAAGTGAAGCACAATAAAATGAGGTATGCCTGTATGGTAAGAACCCACTTAATTTATTCATTTATGCAAGAAATATTTATTTGGCATCTACTGTGTGTGCATTATTGTTGCACTGGGATACAGTATGGATAAAATAAAGAAGAAAATCTAAAGTATGTAAGTTATGTGAGTATTGTGTAAAAACATTTTGTTACTGAAAACTGGGTTTGTCTCTTGGTGAATGTCAAACCAAGAGACACAACCAAGCCAAAGAATGGGAAAAGGGAAGGTTTTACTTGCAGCAAGTAAAAGAGAACATTAGGCATCTTTCCCAAAGCAGTGTCTCCCTGAATAACAAAATTGGGAAAGTTTTAGGGTAAGGGTTCATACATATTCATGACGAGGCTTGTGGAATGGGGAATACATCATGGAATTGGGGCAAAAGTCATCTTAAAGTGACTGAGTCCAGGTCAGAGTCACAAGGGCCAGCAAAGGATAGTATCATCAGTTTTCTGGCTCCAGTTAGTTCAATATATGAGGGTTAAAGGGATTTTAGATCCTGCAAAGATAACTCAAGAAGGTCAGTCTTCACTTTTGAACTCTGGGAGCTTTACCTCTGATTTATTGTCCCTGATGAGATTAAAGATTAGACTCCGGGCCTGATAGTGGCTGTTCTTATATTCTTTCATAAGATGGCTCGGGGGCCTTATGTCAAGAAAGTTATGTCTTTTTTCCAGGGACACCTAACTCTTTTTGTTAACAGTTTTACATTAAATAATTATATAAATAAAGTAAAATAGAGTAGAGAAAAAAATCCCTTGCCACATCAGACTTAACATTTTGGTGGGAGACTGGTATATAATAAAAAGTAAATATTTGGTCTTTGTTTCCATTTCTTGGCATGAAGCTCCTGAAACCCTTGGAATTTCCTATGTGATAGGAGTGTCTTAAGGCACCCCTTTGGATCACACCTGGAATTACGCTTATGAGGTGACTTAGGATAGGGTCTTTAGACAGCCTCAGGGCTGAGCTGGTCACCTGAAAGACCTAGTGATTAGAAGATGGGAACTCTCAGCCCTAACTCCCTAGGTTTTGGGAGGGGAGGGCTGGCCTAGGGATTGATCTCTATAGAAACTCTTCAACAGTGAGATTTAGTGCAAAGATTCACCATGCAGAAGGGTGGTACACTCCACATCTTGTGCTTTTGCACCCTTGTGGCTGTGCCTATTCATCTGGCCTTTCCTTCCTACCTTTTTTTTTTTTTAAGATTTTATTTATTTATTTGAGAGAGCACGAAAGCAAGAGCGATCACAGAGGGAGAGGGAGAAGCCAACTTCTCGGCTGAGTGGAGAGCCTGATGCGGGGCTTCATCCCAGGACCCTGAGATCACGACCCAAGCTGAAGGCAGATGCTCAACCTACTGAGCGACCCAGGCACCCCGTTCCTTTCCTTCCTTCCCTTCCCTTCCTTTCCTTTCCTTTCCTCTCCTCTCCATTCTCATTTTCTTCTCCTTCCTTCCTTACTCTCTCCCACTTTCTCTCTCCCTCCTTTCCTTCCTTCCCTCCTTCCTTCCCTCCTTCTTTCCTTCCTTCCTTCCTTCCTTCCTTCCTTCCTTCCTTCCTTCTTCCTTCCTTAATAGACCAGTAAATGTAAAGTATATTCCCTAGTTCTATAAGCTGTTCTAGCAAATTATCAAACCTGGGGAGGAGGTTGAGGAAACCCTGATTTATAGCTGGTAGATCAGAAGTATGAATGGCTTAGGACTTGTGACTGGTATCTGAAATGGGAACAGACTTGTGGGGTTGAGCTTTTTTTTTTTATTTTATTTTTTTAATTTATTTATTCATGAAAGTCAGAGAGAGAGAGGCAGAGGCAGAGGGAGAGAAGCAGGCTCCCTGCCTAGCAGGGAGCCCAATGCGGGACTCGATCCCAGGACCCTGGGATCGTGACCTGAGCCGAAGGCAGACGCTTAACCATCTGAGCCACCCAGGCACCCCGGGGCTGAGCCTTTAACTTATGGGTTCTACAGTAACACTGGGTAATTAATTTCAGAATTGGATTGTTGGACAACCAGCTGGTGTCAGAATTGGTTGAGAGAGAGAAACGAGAAATAAACAACGTATAGATAAACAAGTAGATTAGGTATAAAGTGTGTTAGATACTGAAAGTGTCAAGAAGAGAAAATGGAGTAGTGAAAAGGGATAAGGAATATTTTTTAGGGGAGGGTTGTTGAAATTTTAAATAGGTTGGCTAGGGAAAAGACTCAAAAGATGACATTTGAGTTAAGAATTGAAGGAAGTCGGAGAGCAGGCTAGACAAAAGGGAATAAAACACTGCAAAGTCCTTGAGGGAGGGCTTGCTAGGTGTGTTCCAGGAACAGCAAGGAGGCCAATATGGCAGGAGGAAAGAGAATGAAGAACATAGCGGTGGATAAATTTGGAGAGGTAATAACCATAGAGGGCTTTCTGTGTCATAGTGCTGAGGACTTCTGCTTTTATTGTGAGTGGGAAGAGAAGCCATTGGAGGGTTTTGAGCAGAGGAGCGATGAGATACGACTTTTTCTTTTTTTTTTTAAAGATTTGTTTATTTATTTGACAGACAGTGAGAGAGGGAACACAAGCATGGGGAGTGGGAGAGTGTTAGAAGCAGGCCTCCCGCTGAGCAGGGAGCCCATGCGGGCTTGATCCCAGGACCCTGGGATCATGACCTGAGCCCAAGGCAGAGGCTTAAAGACTGAGCTACCCAGGCGCCCCTGACTTTGTTTTTTTTGTTTTTTTTTTTTTTTAATATTTTATTTATTTATTTGACAGAGAGATAGCGAGAGCAGGAACACAGGCAGGGGGAGTGGGAGAGGGAGAAGCGGGCTTCCTGCCGAGCAGGGAGCCCGATGTGGGACTCGATCCCAGGACCCTGGGATCATGACCTGAGCCGAAGGCAGACGCTTAACGACTGAGCCACCCAGGCGCCCCCTGACTTTGTTTTTAATAGAGCAGGTTCAGGGAGAGTAGTTAGGAGGGCTATTGTGAAAATCTGCATATAGATAATGGTGACTTAGAATAGGATGAGAACAGGTTGGTGCAGTGAGGAAGTTGAGAAGAATAAAATTCTGGATATGTGCTTACTTTTTTTTTAAGTCTGAAATACTTCATTTTGTGGTGGTATCATTTATTTAGCCCACTCTTTTAATGGTGGGCATTTCTGCTCTTCCAGTGCTTTTTTTTTTTTTTTTTTTAAGATTTTATTTATTTATTTGACAGAGAGAGACACAGCGAGAGAGGGAACACAAGCACGGGGAGCAGAAGAGGGAGAAGCAGGCTTCCCGCGGAGCAGGGAGCCCGATGCGGGGCTCGATCCCAGGACCCTGGGATCATGACCTGAGCCGAAGCAGACGCTTAACGACTGAGCCACCCAGGCGCCCCTCTTCCAGTGCTTTTTAAATGTTTTAATGAAAATTGTCATCTATGCATATACAAGCACTTTTCAGATTGTTTCCTTAGAATAAACTACTAGAAATTACATTAATGGGAAATGAAATATATATTTTTAATACTTTTGATTCATATAGCCAGAGTACTGTCCTGGAAGAATTTACCTGTTTTTTCCTGCTAGCAATACATCTGAGTGTTTTCATTTTTTAATATATAGTCCTGATATACAGTGTATGTTTTACATTTTACAAATCCCAGATCCTGACAATAAAAAGATTTTCTCTGTTTTAATTTTAAAAAGCACACTACTGAATTTCAACTTTTACCTTCTTTTAGGTTACAGTTCCTCTGAGTCACCTCATCAATGCCTTCCATTCACCAAAAAACACATCTATTTCTGTCAGTGTGTCAGCTTTGCAAAACCACCATCGAGATGTAGTTCCTGACCATGAGGCTGCTGGCAATGAGGTAATAGTTTTTACCCTGATTGTGTGAGAAACTAAAAATAGTTTTTACCGTGTTTTTGATTTAGTATGTTGGAAACATGTCTGAAATGTCTTTCTATGGTTAGGTACTTGTGACAAGGTCGTTCCTGTCTTCAGCTTATCTCCTTTATGATTAAAGATGTCTAATTCTGACTTTATTGTACATATAGAAAAGTTACTTTGTCTTATTTTTTTAACATTTATTAAAAATTTCCTGTGGCAGTGGTGCCTGCCTGGCCCAGTTGGTAGAGGAGGCGACTCTTAATCCTCAGGGTCGTGAGTTTGAGCCCTACGTTGGGCATGGACCCTACCTTAAAAAAAAAAAAAATTCATGTGGAAGTGTATTTGGTATTCACTTCCTAGATTACTAGTTGTGTGATACCATTTAGATATTTTGTATTGCTCCAGCAGTAGCAGTGAACCCACAATTAACTGACCATAATTACCTCCCAAGTCTCAAGGAAGGTGGAATAGTAAGAAGTTACCATCTGCTGCCTTATGGGCGTGTTCAGTGTAGCTGAACAGTTAGAATATAGGTACCTAAAGGTGAAATACATACACTATGAAACTACTTTCGGTATTCAGAGGATTACAAAATCAGTGTTTCCTAGGATACAGGGAATTCGCAGCCTAGGAACCTTTGTGTTTACAGGGTTTATTAGTAAGATAGCTGCATGTAGCTCAGAATACATTTTTCATAGAAAACATCATTTCTAGTTAAATTTCCTAAAAACCTCTTTAATCCATAAGTAACTTATGTTCTTAGTCCTGATATCAGGGGCTATGGCAAAGAATAGTAGAGGAGGAGTTGAAAAAGTGTTCACTTCTTGGGAAGGTTGGAGTCAGTCTTGGGATAAAATTTTAGTTAGATGAAAAGTTTGTTCTTCAACGTCTCTAGACTTTCCTTTTATAACATTTACCTAATTCCTATTGCTTCTTTCTATAGGCAATCCATTGTCTTTCTCCTGTGGTGATAACCCTATCCCAAATTATAGTCCAAGAGAGCCTGCCTGATGAAAATACATGTATCAAAATTGCTACATATAGCAATATTCTGTTCCTTTTAGAAATCTTGGAAAATACTGTATAGGTAGAAGAAATAAAATTCTCCTGTGATCCTGCTCCCCAGAGATAATGCTATTAACATTTTGTATTTACATGTCAAGTCTCTTTTTCTCTTACACTTTTTTTTTTAAGTAGGCTCCATATGGGCCCAACATGGGGCCCAGTGTGGTGCTTGAACTCATGACCATGAGATCAAGACCGGAGCCAAGATCAGGAGTTGGACGCTTAACCAACTGAGCCACTCTGGCGTCCCTGTACTTTTTAATTTTATAATTGGATGATTCTGTATATGCTGACTTAAATTCTGCTTTGTTCATTTAATAGTTTTTATGGACTTGTTATGCCATACATTCTTTCTTTTTATATTTTTTAAAGATTTCATTTATTTATGAGAGAGAGAGAGAGCACACAAGCAGGGGGAGGGAGAAGCAGACTCCACACTGAGCAGGGAGCCCGATGCAGGGCTCGATCCCAGGACCCTGGGATCATGACCTGAGCGGAAGGCAGACACTTAACCGACTGGGCCATCCAGGAGCCCCCATTTTCTATATTTTTCATGACTTCAAAGTGTTCATTGTATGATATCCCATTGTTGGATATTGTTCCCAATTTTTAATTGCTATAAACAACATCACTTTTACTGTCTGTGTTACTGAAGATTATTTCGTTAAGTGAAATTGTTAGGTTAGGGGCTTGAAAAGTAGCTAAACTCTAGAAGCCAGTGTTGGGCTTATGATTAGTGGTTTCAGATACAGAATTGGTGTCCTGTTGTTTGTCTTTAGTGAGTGTTCTTTATTGCTTTACAGAACTTTTTCTTTCTCCTTAAGCATCCTTTTTTTGTTGTTTTTTAAGATTTTATTTATTTTCGGCGCCTGGGTGGCTCAGGCGTTAAGCCTCTGCCTTCCGCTCAGGTCATGAGCCCTGCATCAGACTCCCAGCTCAGCGGGAAGCCTGTTCTCCCTCTCCGACTCCCCCTGCTTGTGTTCTCTCTCTCTCTCTCTCTTTCTCTCTCGCTGTCACAAGCAGGGGGAGTGAGAAAGGGAGAAACAGACTTCCCGCTGAGCAGGGAGCCCGACATGGGCCTGGATCTCAGGACCCTGGGATCATGACTTGAGCCGAAAGCAGACACTTAATTACTGAGCCACCCAGGCACCCCAAGCATCCTTTTTTCTTTTAAAAGATTTTATTTATTTATTTGAGAGAGAGAGAGCAGGGCGAGCGAGAGAGAGCACAAGTGGGGAGAGGGAGAAGCAGACTTCCTGCTGAGCAGGGAGCCTGATGTGGGGCTCGATCCCAGAAGCCTGGGATCATGACTCAAGCCAAAGGCAGACGCTTAATCAGCTGAGCCACCCAGGAGCCCCTCTCCTTAAGCATCCTACCTCATCTTTACTCTCACCTCCTTTGCTGTGTGGTGGCTTTGCTTTCATCAAGTCTTACTTATCCAAACATGCATTCCACAATGTAATTTTAAAAACCTTCCTTTCAACTTCCTTCAAAAGCTACTGACTTATTTTCCTTTTGTTTTCAGACTTGAAATAGTAGTCTGAACTTGTAACTGTACTTGCTAAACTTTTATTCTTACACTACATCTCATCATAGTTAGGCTATTACTTTGTACCATTTTACAGACTTATTTTGCTAAAGTCGTTGATTCCTTCACGCTAAATTCAGGCCTTTTTAAAAAGCCACATCTTTTTGGGGCGCCTGGGTGGCTCAGTTGGTTAAGCGACTGCCTTCGGCTCGGGTCATGATCCCAGGGTCCTGGGATCGAGCCCCACATCGGGCTCCCTGCTCGGCGGGAAGCCTGCTTCTCCCTCTGCCCCTCACCCTGCTTGTGTTCCCTCTCTCGCTGTATCTGTCAAATAAATAAATAAAATCTTAAAAAAAAAAAAAAAAAGCCACATCTTTTTAAACATTTCCTTAGCATCTGGTCTTGCTGAACATTCACTATTTTCAAAATACTCCCATGTATTGAGTGATGTTACATTGATGATGGTTTTTCTCTTTCTGTTTTGCTGGCTGGTTTTTTTTGTTGCCAGCCCCTTAAATATTTGGTGTGCTGTGCATTTATCCTTGATCTAATTTTTGTTACGCACATTCTCCCAAGTCATGTTACCCATATTCACACATACCTATGTGTGTGTATATATATGCTGATAACTCCCAAAGATATCTCCAACCCTAAATTCACTTTAAATCTTTGAAGTCATTTATTTAGTGCCTTGTTAAAATACCCCTCTGGAGAGAATTTCAGGGACCTCAAAATTAAGATGTCCAGACTTGGCTATTCTCACATTTCTAGTATATTTGAACTTACAGTGGATTTAGCCCCTCTTTAGCAGTCTGGCTCCAACCAGGAGAGAGAAACCACATAGTTATTTGAACAGTGAAAGTTTAATGCTAAAAATTAATGTCATTTTTTAGTTTAATATTTTTAAAACCCTATTTTTTTAGGGGATCGGGATAACTAGGGATTGGCTAGTAATAAGTAAACTCTAAAATACACAGTACTAGAAGATTTAAGGAGTAGCTAATACTCTTAGAACCGAGATGGAGCATGGCAGGAAGAGTTCTTCACCTGCGGGCTGAGGCCTTGACCTTATTGGAAGAGGGTATGGCCTTGGCTCCCTGAGTGGCTAAGTCACTGGTATCACGCTCGCTGCACTTGCTGGAAATCTGCCATTCCTGGTAGCAGGGAAAGCTGTTCATGGGAATGTCCCTTACTGAAAAGCTGCTAGTGCTAGCCGCTGTTGACTGTAGGGGCCGAGTTTTGGAGAAGCTACACAAGTGGCAGCCAGATGCTAGAGAAACCATGGTTGCTCCAGATAGGAGCCTGCTGAATGAGCACACCAGAACCAGGAACAAAGACATTTTGCTCTTACAGAGTCTCCAGTGCTCTTTACTGACAAAGCTTAACATTGTCCCAGCTGGCAAAGAAAAAATATTTAAAGAGCCCAGCTCATTGTTCATGGAGCTAACAGAAAGGATGAAGAGGAGCTAGGAGACAATAAATTGATTAACTAGATTGTTCATTCAGAACCCTTCTTCCTGTCAATCCTCTATTGGTTTTTTCGTATGTCTATTGTCTGTAATTTGTTATTTTTAGTTAGGGCTTGGTTCAGGCTCGTACCATTTTTCTCTTGTTCCATCAGCCATTTTTTATCCAGTTTGCTATCTTTGTCTTGTATTTTCTTGCAATAAAACAAAACTGATCATATTAGCTATAGAATTAAATTCAGACAAGCCTCTTTACAATTTGAGCATTGCCCATCTAGTTCATTCTTCCATCACTAATCTTTGGACAACATCTGAAACATTCCAGGTGCTTTGATGATATTTTGTTTGTCCCTTACCCCAAGGCTTCCCATCATTTTGCAAAGTAGGTGTTACCTCAGTGCAGCTGTATCTGACTTAGGAAATTAGTTGCTCTCTGTTCTCTTACCACTTTTGTTTTAAATATCTTTGTAATAGCAGTTATTATGTTGTATGATAATTGCTGTGCTTACATGTACCTTATTTCTCTTTACATTCCAAGGACCTGACAGCCAGTAAGAAAGGGAAATAATTTTTTTTTTTTTTTTTTTTTTAAAGATTTTATTTATTTATTTGAGGCAGAGAGAATGAGAGACAGAGAGCATGAGAGGGAGGAGGGTCAGAGGGAGAAGCAGACTCCCTGCCGAGCAGGGAGCCCGATGCGGGACTCGATCCCGGGACTCCAGGATCATGACCTGAGCCGAAGGCAGTCGCTTAACCAACTGAGCCACCCAGGCGCCCAAAAGGGAAATAATTTTAAGTTAAGAATCTGCATTTCCCTTTTGAAGTCTTTGTATTGTAAATAGACGTTTTGGCTTCCCATTTTAAAAGATAGCTTTTGAAGGGCGCCTGGGTGGCCCCTTCGGTTAAGCATCTGACTCTTGATCAGAGCTGAATCAGGTCTTGATTTTAGGGTCGCGAGTTCAAGCCCTGCGTTAGTCTCCATGTTGGACTCCATGCTGGGTGTGGAGCCTACTTAAAAAAATAATAATAAAAGATAACTTTTGAGGGCGCCTGGGTGGCTCAGTTGTTAAGCATCTGCCTTCGGCTCAGGTCATGGTCCCAAGGTCCTGGGATCGAGCCCCACATTGGGCTCTCTGCTCAGCGGAAAACTGCTTCTCTCTCTCCCACTCTCCCTGCTTGTGTCCCCTCTCTCTCTGTGTCTCTCTCTGTCAAATAAATAAAATCTTAAAAAAAAAAAAACTTTTGAAAAGTAGCTTTTGAGTATTGTAGTCCTGCAGTTTTCATTGTAATAATATGCTTTACATTGTGTAGTTTTTAATAAAGAGCTCTTTTAAATATTTTATTTCATCATGCTTTAACTATCCTTGTCTTTGTGTTAGGATGTCAGATGATCATGGCATGATCTTTTCCATTGATCCATACCATCTTGTTGTGAAATAGGCAGGGCATGTTTCATAGGCATTTTACTAATGAGGAAATTGATTCTAAGATGATGAATGATTTTTCACAAAGCTAGTAAGTGAGAAACCCCTGGACATCAGTCCAAAGCTGTATAATCCATGGATCTAACTTCATTTTTTTGTGTGTGAAATTTTATGGATCTAACTTCACATCAGTCTTCAGAAGCTGATACTTGTTCTGTTTATTTTTGCTTCCCTTGCTTGAACTTTTAGCTGTCTGGGGCTTATTTTTATTTGTCTTTCATGTCTGCCTGACAGCTCCTGTGAACAAGAAAATAACTCACTTCTATCCTATTTGTAGTTAGTTTAGAACGGTTTTAATGTGAGTGTATTTGCTTGCCTGGTTTTCACACATTTTTTACTTTGTTCAGTTTTCCTCCTTATTAGAAGTTAGATATGGGTAATATAGAACCTCTCAGTTCAAAGAAGGATCTCAGCACTGAAACCAGAGGAGTGAGATGTCCTCTGGTAATAGCATACCCCCCCCTTTTTTTTTTTAATCAAATGGGTTTTGGTTTATGGACATTAGAAACTTAAGGAAGCTTTAAATGTCCATAACTTAGAGACACTATTTGGAAAATATTTTTAATCTTTATCAAACCCCACATGACTGACCTCCATAAAACTAGAACTAGAAAAATATTTGCACCAGGGACACCTGGGTGGCTCAGTGGGTTAAGCGTCTGCCTTTGGCTCAGGTCATGATCCCAGGGTCCTGGGATGGAGTCCCACTTCTGGCTCCTTGCTCAGCGGGGAACCTGCTTCTCCCTTTGCCTGCCGCTCCCCCTGCTTGTGCTCTCTCTCTCTTCTCTGACAAATAAATAAATAAAATCTGTAAAAAAAAAATATTTGCACCAATTTATTTATTTTTTCAATTTAGTTTTTAAATATTAGAAAGAAAAGAGGAATCAATACCTTTGTTAGATTTTTTTTAAATCCATAATTTTTCAACTAACAAGAACTCTTTAAGTTAAATATCTTGATAATAATGCTAACTTTGTTGACTCACTCTTTTACAGCCTGTACTTAATTTAAGAGCCCTTGGATTATCCGAATTAAAAATTGGACAGATTGATCAACTGGTAGACAGTTTACTTCCTGGATTTTGTAAAGGCAAGAGCATTTCTTCCCATTGGCATACATCTCATGTCTCCGCACAGTCCTTCTTTGAAAATTAATATGGTAGGTTGGTATGTTTTTTGTTCCAATTTAAGTAAGCTGTCGTAGTTACTAATAATTTAACAGATAGCATTTATTAACATTTACTGTGTGTCAGGTTCTTTCCTGAGTTCCGTTCCATTCTTTTCCTTTCCTTTTTCCTTTCCTCTTTCCTTTCCTTTCCTTTCCTTTCCTTGATAACTTTTCATATTGGAATAATTTCAGATTTACAGAAAAGTTGCAAAGATAGTACTGAGTTCCTATTTTTCCTTTACCTGGCTTCCTCTAATGTTAACTGCCTGCTTAAATATGGTGTGTTTGTCAAAACTAAGAAATTAACATTGGTACAATACGTTTAACTAAAGTATAGACTGTATTTAGACTTTACCAAATGAAATTTAATCTTCCTAAATTACTAGTTTTTCCACTAGGGTTCTTTATTTGTCCCAGGATCTACTATAGCATACTACACAGATTGTGGAATAGCGGAGTATTGTTTTAATTTTACGTGACAAACATTAGATCCAAGAACCGTACTGGTTTCTGAGAATACATTGAAGAAATAGTCATAGTCCTTTTTTTTAAAAGAATGTCTATATTTTCTTATTTAAGTCTTGTAACAGTCAGGTGTTAACAAGAAGTGTGTAGTTTGTAGAAGGGGTTTCAGCTTCATGCATTTCTTTTTGGATGATACTTAAACAATGAATGTTAGAACTTATCAAAATACTTGTTTTTTTATTGATGGAAGAACAGATTTTAAAAATCAGTACAAGCTATAACAGCCCAGAAACAAAAGTGCAAGTTCAATTAGTTTTGTGGTAAAGGTTTGAAGCCATACTTTGTACAAACTTAATTCATTTACTAATCATTCTATTGCCTTTATTTCAAAAATGGGTTGTAGGATAAGTAAAGAATTCAAGAGTGAGAAAAATGAAGTTTTTGAGCTTGGGGACTTGGATTAAAAATCTACTTCTATTATTTTTTATGTTCTATTACCTCCTTCCTGAGAGAAGTCCTGAGGCTCAGTGGTTACGGGTGAAGTGCAGACGAAGATCAGACTCAGTCCTGCCACTGAGTGGCTGTGGCGTTTACTTTATTCCTCTAAACTGCTGTTTTCTCATATGAAGCATGAGGAAAAACTCCTTATCTCACTTTGCAGGATCAAATGAAATAATCTAAATAGTTTATTTAGCCCATACTATGCTACTTGGCTCATAGTAAGTGTTCAGTAGAGTAAAATTTTTGTTACTCTCATTGTTGTGTAGTTGTAGTAGTATTGCTCTTCTGGTCTGCATATTTACATTTCCTTTTAAGGTTCCTTGATACTCTTTTCTTGGCTTAAGCAGGCAGAGGTATTAGGAAGGGGTTTGTTGATTCCTAGGAAAATCCCTGAATTCTGACTGGGATATTGGGAACCAGTTTCTGTTGCTCCTGTTTACTTTTTCCCTAGGATCATGGGTGTAAAGTAGGATGGGGCCCATTAGTCAACAATGGGAATTCAAAGGATCACCAAAGTTGATGGCTTCCAGCTATGAAAGGAACTGTTTTCCAACCCATTGACTGGAAGCTTTGAGAGAGAAAGATAACTATGCTTCTGGCTTACAGTGTTTAATCACATTATTTGTTAGTTTTTGAAATCATCCCTAGGAGGTAGCAGTTCTTTATCTCTTCATACTGTTAACAAAAAGTTACTTTAGGTAAATATATGTATCTTTTACCTTTTGGTTTGAATTTAATTTCATTGGCAGCTATTGTCATATATCAGATAAAAAAGATAATACAATGGATGACTGATAGATAGTAAAGAGATGAAGAACTATAATTAGATTAGCAGTGTTTTTAAAAACTCCTAAAAGCAAAGCCATATGAGCAAATAAAAGGCTAAACTCATACTTTTGTTTTTATAATATTTGGTAAAATTACTGTATTTTGTGACTTTTTTGTAGCTTGGTAAATAGAAAATTCAATTTTTTCAGTTTTCCTCCAGGTTACTTAGATATGTTTCGTACTTTACGTTCCTCTTGCTTGTACAGACAACATTCAAGAACTCTTAAAAGTATTTGTTCAGATCTTCAGTGCTGGCCAGGTATGAAACAACAACTGTATTTATTTTGAAAAAAATGATAGATTTATTTAACAGATTCTGATTTATCTTTCTTAATCATATTAATGTTATAAACAGTCATTTGTAGCTCATGGTAGAACTGATAGAGTATTTAGAGTCAATTAGTTTGGGTATGTTTATTTTTTAATTTAGAAAATATATAGTAGCTGAATTTTGAATGTGAGTGATAAGTGGCACAGTAAATCAAACTTCAGGGAACTTATCTATACCTTCAACATAATTAACTAAGCACATTTGTTTACTTCCCTATATTTTTAAAATTTCATTTTCAAAATTGTTCCAATCAACTGTAAGGACAGAAAAAAATTTAAAATGCAGAAAAAGTCAGGGCAGCAGCAGAGGGGTTTCGTCAGTGAATCAGAAATTTGAGGACTTTCCATAAGGTAAGAAATAGATGACATCACATTGATAGCAAAATCAAATATGCATACATTTATATTTATTTAATACCAGACACTACTGATAGCTGTTAGGTAACAGTGATAATTATAAATGAAAAAGACATATGTTACCCACCTTCGTGGAACTTAGAGTGGAGTGACACAAAAGAGGTGTGTGCTGTTATTTCTGGTAGAAGTTAGGAAAAAACCCCATTTCCAAGTCAATAAGAGTGGGCTCTGGGATGATTCATGACAGGTGAACTGAAAGATTGCCAAAAGTGGGCCAGTCCCAGAGTAGATAGGGCTTGTAACTTTTATGCTACAATTGGCACAAGACACATTGGTAATAAAGGGTGTGTGTGTGTGTGTGTGTGTGTGTGTGTGTGTGTAGAGAAGTCTGTCTCTGAAGATTGTGTATGAGCATTGAGGCCAAGGGGAAAAATAATGGATCTGAATCATACACTAAATGTACCGTGCTTACTCATGATAAGTCCATGCCACCTTCGTAGTTTTGAGGAAACCTATCTACAATCAGTACTGATTACTGTATTCTCTTTACAATTACAACTGGATCAGCAAGAATCTCCACATGTTGAGGAAAACTTGTAACATGAAAGAGAGGTGCCAAGTAGGGCACAGAGATCAGTAATGCCCTGAAAAAAAATGGTTAATGCAGAAGACAGAAGAATTCTTAAAGAAGGATGATATATTTACAAATGGAAGTCTTCATGGAAGACTTATAAAAACTGAGCATGTATTAGGGTATAAGGAATATCTTAATTTTCAGAAAGTTATAACCCAGGGTCAGGTTCTCTGATCATATAATATTGAAATCAAATAACAGAAAAGGTAGCTTAAAAAAGTCCTAACTCTATGGAAATTTAAAGATACTTTTTTTTTTTTATTTGAGAGAGAGAGAATGAGAGAGAGAGCGTGGGGGGGGGAGGGTCAGGGTGAAGCAGACTCCTCGCTGAGCAAGGTGCCCGATGTGGGACTCGATCCTGGGACTCCAGGATCATGACCTGAGCCGAAGGCAATCACTTAACCAACTGAGCCACCCAGGCGCCCTAAAGATACTTTTCTAAGTGTCTTGTGGCTGAGGGAAAGAGAAACTGAAATTACAGACAATTAGTAATGAACCACAGTGAAAATCAACATCAAAATCTTTGAGTTGAGGGCCAACTGATGCTATGAGGGCATTGTATAATTTATTAGGAAATAAGAAAGAAAATAAATTGATTAAACCTTCATTTTGAGAATTCTTTAAATGAATGTGAGAAATTAATATGTATAAAACATTAAATGAATACAACACAAAGAAAGTTATACTTAAATGAACAGATTTAATTTGAGAAAACAAGAAAATAGAACAGTCTGATTAAAAACATTGAGAAAATATTGAACTGAAAAGTGGTAACAGCCACAGATAATGAAGATTTAAAACTTTTAAGAGTATGTATAAATAAAAACATGTTGAAACAATTATCCAAGTTATAAATTAACAACATTGACTGAAGAAGAGAGATAAGACAGTAACTATAAAATTTGAAAGATAATATTTTTCAAATATAACCCCGTTGCCCCAGAGGCATCTAGGCTCAGATGGTTTTATGGTTTATGGGTTCTGTTTTCCAGGACCAAAATAAAGAAGAAGGTAGAATAGGCTTTCCTGTTTATTCCACGAGATTACTGATACTAAAATATTAGCATAAAAAATATAATAGATTGCAATTTCACGTAATAATATAAATACAGAAATCCTAAATAAAATCTGAAAAAGGAAGTACAGAAATGTGCTCTAAAATATGATTAAGGAATATGAGTGATTTAATATTAGGAAGTATGTTAATTTATGTTAATAGATTAGAAAAGAACAATATTATTTCAAGTGTATGAAAAAGGCATGTGATAGATTTTAATTGTCACACTTCCTACAAAGTTGTAGAAAACTAGAATAGGAAGTTTTAAAATTTATTAAGGAAATCTATTAGGATCTTATTAATATGGGAAATAAGATATGTATAGCCTGTTTTTGTTACGAGTAATTTGGAAGTTTTAAACAATGTGCTTTAAAAGGAGTTATAGAGGGCGCCTCGGTGGCTCAGTTGGTTAGGTGTCTACCTTCGGCTCAGGTCATGATCCCGGGGTCCTGGATTGGGTCCTGCATCAGGCTCCCTGTTCAGCAGGAGCCCGCTTCTCCCGCTCCTTCTGCTTGTGCTCTCTCTGTGTCAAATAAATAAATAAAATCTTAAAAAAAAAAAGGAGTTATAGAAGTTTATGGAAGGGGCAAAATTATAATTGTTTTTGCTTACCAGGTAATATGTTTGCTTACCAGAAAACTTAAGGAAATCAACTGAAAGGCTACTCTGGTATCATATAAGATAAATGCGTAAAAATCAGTATCTTTCTTATATTCTAGCAACGGATTTTATTTATAGTTTCTTCCAAACCCACACACACACACACACACACACACATATGCATGTGAAACTTCACTGAAGGAAATACAAGGAAATACAAGAGCTGAGTAAAATAAATGAGAGAATGCCAAAATCCTCTTTAAAAGGACTCGGTACTGTAACAGTTTTAATTTACGTCCAGATTTATTAATTCACTGCAACCCTGTTCAAAACCCTAAACACTTGCTATGAAAACCAGGAAGTTGATTTTAAACTTGGGTGTAAAATGGGGCACCTGGCTGGCTTAGTCAGTAGAACATCCAATGCTTGATCTGGGGTTGTGAGTTCAAGCCCCAAGTCAGGTGTAGAGATTACTTAAAAATAAAAAAATAAAATAAAAAAATAAACTTGGGCCTAAGGAGAATCAGATTCTTTTTTTAATCTTAAAAAAGTTGCAAATAGGGCGCCTGGGTGGCTCAGTCGGTTAAGCGACTGCCTTCGACTCATCATGATCCCAGGGTCCTGGGATCGAGTCCCACATCCGGCTCCCTGCTCTGCGGGGAGCCTGCTTCTCCCTCTCCCACTCCCTTGCTTGTGTTCCCTCTCTCACTATGTATCTCTCTGTCAAATAAATAAATAAAGTCTTTAAAAAAAAAAGTTGCAAATAGGTAAAGGTCTGAACGAAGTTGAAAGTCAGTAGACTCCTTTTTTTTTTTTTTTTTTTTTTAAGATTTACTTATTTGGAGAGGAAGAGAGGGAGAGGAGGGGCAGAGGGAAAGGGAGAGGTAGAATCCCAAGCTGACTCCGTGCCCAATGTGGAGTCTGACGATCCCATGACCCCGAGAACAGGACCTGAGCCGAAACCAAGAGTTGGACACTCGACTGACTGAGCCACTCAGGTGCCCCAGTAGACTCTTAAAATCACAGTTTGGGGGTGAGGCTCTCTAATCAAAACACAATGCAGAAAATACTAAAGATTAAAAGATAAAACTATATTAACTTTATAAATTGCTGCATACAAAGACAAGGCATTAAATGTTTCAAATATATGTGCCTTAAAGTTAGTATACATAGCACGCATCCTTTTATTCATGAAAATGGGAAAGGTTATGAGTGATTAACAATTTACTAAAGAAAATATTCAAGGAAAGTAAAAGTGTTTTTCAAAATTTTCCCTCATTTCTAATCTGAAATGCAAATTAAAACAAGACACTGCTTTTTGCCTATCAGATCTGTACACATTAAAAAAATTTATAGGGACGCCTGGGTGGCTCAGTCAGTTAAGCGGCTGCCTTCAGCTCAGGTCATGATCCCAGGGTCCTGGGATCAAGTCCCGCATCCCGCTGCCTGTTCAACGGAGAGCCTGCTTCTCCCTCTGCCTGTTGCTCCCGCTGCTTGTGCTCTCTCTGACAAATAAATAAAATCCTTAAAAATTTAAAAAAAATGTATATTAATCTGTGTTGCAAAGGATGTGGAGTAAAGGATACTCCTATTCATCAGTGGGTGTATAAATCAATAACAACCTTTTAGAGGGCAGTTTCTTAGTGTTAAATAATTCAAACCTCATGGTTTCACTTTTAAGAATTTAGTCTACACATGCTGAAAGAATTTTAACTGAACCATTTTTAGCAATAAGAAAACAGGAAACAACTAATGTCCATAGTAGAAAAGTGGTTGAATATTCAAATTGCTATACACTGATAAATTGGAAAAATATTAACAGCCATTAAATTGAATGTACTATCTGACCTGTTCTGAAAAATACCCGTGATAATATTTCTTGTTAAGTGCAAGAAGATAATTGCAAAAAATTATATACTATTTTTATAGAAAGAGCATATGCTTAAATACATAGAAGTGTAGTCATGAAATTGTTTTTCAAAGCTTTTATTCTTTATTTTATTATTTTTTTTCAAGATTTTATTTATTTATTTGTCAGAGAGAGAATGAGCACAAGCGGGGAGCGGCAGGCAGAGGGAGAAGCAGGCTCCCCACCGAGCAAGGAGCCCGATGCGGGACTCGATCCCAAGACCCTGGGATCATGACCTGAGCCGAAGGCAGACGCTTAACTGACTGAGCAGCCCAGGCATTCTTCAAAACTTTTATTCTTTCATTTAAAATTTTTTTTTAAGTAGGCTCCATGCCCAGTGTGCAGCCCAGTGCAGGCTTGAACTCACAACCCTGAGAACAAGACTTGAGCTGAAATCAAGGGTCGGACACTTAACTGACTGAGCCACCCAGGCATCCCAGTCGTGAAATTGTTAACAGTGGTCACTTCTGGGGAAGTGGGATTGGGGTTTGAGGAAGTAGACACTGACTTTTATTTGATACTCATCAGTGGGTTTGTTTGTTTTTTTTCACATTTTAAAATTACCAAGAGACTATACAGTTATTTTATAGATTCAATCCATTTTAATGACTTTAATTACCAGGGTAGTGAAATGTCAGGCAAAGGACTATGTTAAAAAATGGGATAATAAACTTAGGTTGTATGGGCTTGGTGTCAGTTTTGAATCCTAGTCATTTTTCTTTCTTTTTTTTTTTTTTTTTAAGGTTTTATTTATTTATCTGAGAGAGAGAATGGGAGACAGAGAGCATGAGAGGGGGAGGGTCAGAGGGAGAAGCAGACTCCCTGCTGAGCGGGGAGCCCGACGCGGGACTCGATCCCGGGACTCCAGGATCATGACCTGAGCCGAAGGCAGTAGCTTAACCAACTGAGCCACCCAGGCGCCCCCCTAGTCATTTTTCTTATAAAAATGTGCAACGAGAAGTAAATGTGAATCTGTTCCGTTCAGTTTTCATATAGTCTCGGGGTTTTAAAACTTTGAAATCAAGAACTTGACGTTTATAGTCCACCTCTGAAAGATTGACAGAGACACAGCATATAACACCATCATTTGTAAAGGTAATTAGACATTTTTTGTTGTTTGAAAAAGCAGTAATTTTCAAATTATTAAAATGAGAACATTCAATATGTGATTTCTTTTATTGGTCAGTTGATTTTCTAAAGGATTAATTACCTGTGTAATCATTACACCTACAACTCTTCTGAGTGCCCCAGTCATGTCTCTCCTTTGGCCTATTAGACATCTCCTTTTGTTTTTTTCCCCTACACATCTACCTGTGTGTTCTCTAGAATAGCATCCACCCAAGCTAGAAACCTGTTGATCAACTTTGATTTGTTCATCTTTTCTCTCCTGTCACATCCATTAATCATCACATCCATTAATCACTAAAGTCCTATTGATCCAGCCTCTTAAATATTTCTTAGATCTGTCTCTTTTCATTCCCAGTTCCACTGCATAGATGGAGTATAACCATTTCTTGCCTAAAGGACTCTAGTAAACATTCATTTAGTCTCCTTGCCTTTATTTTTTTTAAAGAATTTATTAGAGAGGGAGAGTGCACAGGGATGGATTTTGGGAGGGGCAGGGAGAGGGAGAGAGAGAATCTCAGGCAGACTCTGTGGGTGTATAAATCATCAGTGGGTGTAGCCCGACCAAACATGGAGCCCGACGTGAGGCTTGATCTCACGACTCTGAGATCATGACCTGAGTGGAAGTCGAGTCGGATGCTTAACTTACTGAGCCACCCAGGCACCCCTTAGTCTCCTTGCCTTTAGTTTTGTTACCTTCAGTCCAGCTTTCAGACTGCCACCAACCCACCATCTGTCTAAAATGTTTAAATGTAATATATTCCTCTGATTTATTGTCAGATTCCTGCTGTAGTATCCATTTGGCCTCTGCCTATCATTTTTCTGTTCTTATCTTTAATATGGCACTCCTTCTGAACCTCTACTCTACTTGCCTCTTGGCACTTTATTTTATTTTTTTTTTATTTTTTATTTTTTTTAAAGATTTTATTTATTTGACAGAGAGAATGAGATAGAGAGAGCATGAGAAGAGGGAGAAGCAGACTCCCCACTGAGCAGGGAGCCTGATGCGGGACTCGATCCCGGGACTCCAGGATCATGACCTGAGCTGAAGGCAGTCGCTTAACCAACTGAGCCACCCAGGCACCCTCTCTTGGCATTTTAAAGTCGTGTCATAAAAGTTAGCTTGCAGTTCCTGAGTGCTAAAGCCTTTTACTTCATGGCTATGTCAGATTGTTTATGCTTTGCATTTCCTTTGGTTTAGAAATCCTATTTCTCTGTAATGCCTTTCCTAGCTTCCTGAGGTAGCATTTATTTTACCACCAGACCTAGAACCTCTTTTTTTTTTTTTAAGACTTTATTTATTGATTGATTTGAGAGAGAATGCATGCGAGCGGGAGAGGAGCAGGGTGGGGGCGGGGAAGGAAGGGGAGAAAATCTTCAGCAGACTCCTTGCTGAGTTCAGAGCCCAATGTTGGGCTTGATCCCATGACTGAGATCATGACCTGAGCCGAAAGCAAGAGTCGGATGCTTAACCGACTGAGCCACCCAGGTGTCTCCAGATCTAGAACTTCTAACATAATATCAAAATGATTTCAAAAAATTAGTTATTTGTGTATCTCTCCCTAGTAGACTGAGAACATTCAGATCATTGGTTATTTATCTTTACATTTTCAGAACTTACACAAGGCCAAGTGTATAAAAGATACTCAGTAAACATTTAATAACTTAATGAGGTTTTTTGTCTAGTAGAGATAAAGGAGTGTGAACATCAAACCATTAGAACCCTAAAGTCCACAGGTGACCTATTGTTTTCAGTATAGTATTCTTACAGAGAGTTCCTTTATATTAATTGATTGATGCAAGTGTGAAGTCCAAAGTTAGTTTCTTAGCCATTGATTAAGTAATTTATTGTTGAATCTTAGTGTAATTCTTCTGATGGACAATAAAAATTAGAAATTCTAGAGTTTTTGAATGAATTTTTTTGTGAGTGATCGTTATATTGTTGGGCAGTGTTATCTATATAGTCAGTACTGATGCATTGTTTGTGTATTTAGGGGTTCCTTTTGCGGGACAGAGGATCAGATGTTGAGAGTTTGGACAAACTCATGAAAACCAAAAATATACCTGAAGCTCACCAAGATGCATTTAAAACTGGTTTTGCAGAGGGTTTTCTGAAAGCTCAAGCACTAACGCAAAAAACCAATGGTAAGTTGATTTGACACCATCCATATTTGGGAAGAATATCTAAAAGGAAGTCATAGTTCTACCTTTAAGTGATTACAAATATTTTTTCTAACAAGTATGCACCTTTTCATTGGTTATATTCCATTATATTTGTAACTTAAGCTGTGTCAAAATGGAAAATCTATTGGCACTCTCCCTTTTCTCAAATGAGAAGCAACGTCAAGGACAGAAGCATGAGTGCCTCGATGAGGTTTTTGGTCACAGGGTGCTGAAAGGAAATCATGGCAATTATACAAAGGAATGCCAGGTTCCAAAATTGCATGTGATAGAATATGATTACTATCAATAACCTAATGCTTACTTTTCACCAAGCTGTCACTTGTCATTGTTGTCATTTGATTTAAGGTTTTTTTTTTTCTCCTCCAGATTCTCTGAGACGAACTCGTCTGATTCTCTTCGTTCTGCTGCTATTTGGCATTTATGGACTCTTAAAAAACCATTTTTATCTGGTAAAGGCTCTTTTCATTTATCTGACTTTTTTTTTTGTATCTTTTAAATACTCAATTTTTTTTTTCATAGTTAGTCTGCCTTAGACTTAGGAGAGAGGAAGCATTTACCGTTCTAGTGTCTAGGCCTTTCTTTCCTAAGTCAGCACTTCACAGATTGGGTCAATTTGAGATTGCTTTTTTGCATTAAAGTAGAAAAGTTTTAATCTATTATGGTCATATGCCATCTGCATTCTCAGGGCTCATTATATTTACATTGCTTTGTGGATTACAGGTAAAGTTCCTTCAGACACTGTACATATTTCAAGTTTTATTTTTGAGACAATAATATTTTGTTAAAGTTCCAAGGATTATGTTATAGCAAAAATGTTAGATTAGCTTCTATTAGTGGTTCTTAGAAAGTTATACCTGTCCAATTTTATAGAAGAATTTTATAATAGCAATACAAAGTGAAATAGTCCCCTATTTCAAAGACACACTAATAAATTTATGAAAATTTATGTATAATATATAAATACATAAAAATTTGGGGCGCCTGGGTGGCTCAGTCAGTTAAGCGTCCGTCTTCGGCTCAGGTCATGATTCCAGGATGCTGGGATCGAGCCCTACATTGGGCTCCCTGCTCAGTGGGGAGTTTGCTTCTGCCTCTGCCTTGCCCCTCCTCCCACTTGTGTGCTTTCTCTCTCCCCTTCTCAAATAAATAAATAAAATCTTAAAAAAATATATATATACAAATTTAGTATACAATTAAAAATTGCCTTAAATGAGTCTCGTATTTTCTCAGTTTGCCAGTCTAAAAAGAATAATGTCCATTTTAAGTGGTTCCTGTTGCATTCTCAGCTCTTCGGTTTTTACCCTGGGTTCTCTATGGTCTTTATGATTGATTACCTTGAGAGAAAAAAACTGGTATACAATTAAGGAATATCAGTTGATCTGGATCAGGACTTTATCCCAGAACTTGCATGTAACCCCAGTATTTTAAGTTTTTTTGTGGAATAAAACCTGAGATGAGATTTTAACATCCAGGAATATTATTTTTTATTTTTATTTTTTTTAAAGATTTTATTTATTTGACAGAGAGAGCACAAGCAGGGGGAGCGGCAGGCAGAGGGAGAAGCAGGCTCCCCATGTGGGACTCGATCCCAGGACCCTGGGATCATGACCTGAGCCAAAGGCAGACGCTTAACTGACTGAGCCACCCAGGCGCCCCAGAATATTCTTTATATAGCTAGAGTCATCTTCTTTTGTCTACTTATTTTCAAAACAGAACCAGTGTAGGGACACTGTGTGATATTGGAGGGGTGGGATTAGCTGTGGTTACTATTTTATGTTTCTTAATTTTTTCCATTAAGCAAAATATATATCAAACTATGAAGTGCATTGCCTTATAATTTCTTATAAGTTTCAAGTGGTTTGGCTACAAATTTAATTTGCATTATTTATTAAGCCCATCTGTGTAGATCCTTGAATAAACAATTTAGTGGGCTAAAACTATTAGTGTCCATTGTAGAATTACTATATTACATTTGCTCTTCCAACTTTTTTTTTTTTAAGATTTTATTTATTTATTTGACAGAGGGAGACACGGCGAGAGAGGGAACACAATCAGGGGGAGTGGGAGAGGGAGAAGCAGGCTTCCCACCGAGCAGGGAGCCCGACGCGGGGCTCAATCCCAGGACCCTGGGATCATGACCTGCGCCGAAGGCAGACGCTTAACGACTGAGCCACCCAAGGCACCCCTAACTTGTATATTCTTGATATGCTAAGTGTTTTCAACAAAACTGTATATTTTGCCTGTTGATTCTTTTTGCATCTAAATTTCTGTCTTAAAGACAATATTTTTTGTCTTCTGAGGAAATTAGAAATTGCTCTATTTACTCACTTATATCTTTTTAGTAGGGAAGTTTAACCAAAGGGGAGAGATTTTAAGAAAGCTTTGTAATAATTCTCTGTAGTTCATTCTAAGTATTTTACTCTCCTTCCAAACTTTCACTTTCTTTTTTTTTTTTTTTATTTGAGACAGAGAGAATGAGAGAGAGAGAGCACATGAGAGGGAGGAGGGTCAGAGGCAGAAGCAGGCTCCCTGCCAAGCAGGGAGCCCGATGCGGGACTCGATCCAGGGACTCCAGGATCATGACCTGAGCCGAAGGCAGTCGCTTAACCAACTGAGCCACCCAGGCGCCCCCAAACTTTCACTTTCTTAATGATGTCATTACTGACATATATCATCTGAGGGCAAGTAATAACAGTTGCTAGAGGAGGAGGCTACATGAAAAATGAAATAATCTCTTTTAAGGTTTACCCTTTTTTTAAAAAAAAAGCCAGTGCCAGTTCTTATGCTAGGTTTAAGGCAATGTATTTCATGGTGTGCATCCCTGACCAGTTGTATCAGGATAATTTAGAGTGGTTGTTAAAAATGGAAACTCCTGGGGCAACCTGGGTGGCTCAGTTGGTTAACCGTCTGCCTTCGGCTCAGGTCATGATCCCAGGGTCCTGGGATCGAGCCCTGCATCGGGCTCCCTGCTCAGCAGGGAGTCTGCTTCTCCCTCTCTCTGCCTACCACTCCCCCTGCTTGTACTTTCAATCTCTCTGTCAAATAAAGAAATAAAATCTTTAACTGCAAACTCCTGGGCCTTTTCCTAAATCTACCAACCAGAAATTCTGGGCCATGGCCTGGGAACTTGCATTACTACATTTCTCAAGTGATTTTTAGGCACGGTGGAGTTTGAGAATGATTGGTGTAAATTTCTCTTGTTAGATATTATAGAAGAGGGAAATAATTTTTCATTTTAAAGATTTTTTTTTAAATTTATTTGAGACAGAGAGAACGAGAGAGAGAGAGCACATGAGAGGGGGGAGGGTCAGAGGCAGAAGCAGGCTCCCTGCCGAGCAGGGAGCCCAATGCGGGACTCGATCCCGGGACTCCGGGATCATGACCTGAGCCGAAGGCAGTCGCTTAACCAACTGAGCCACCCAGGCGCCCCAATTTTTCATTTTAATTGGAAGGTATAAAGATGTCATTTTAATGTGAGTCATTTATTCCTTGAACATGGTCTAGAAATCCAGAAGATGTACTTTCTGTTACTTCACTATGAATGTATGTATGTAATACTTAAATATATTATTTTTTTTCTCTACTTTCTTACCTCTGAATAATAAGGTGGTTGGAATTTTATGAATCTATGAAATATATAAACATTTCTTTTTTTTCTTCTTTAGTCCGCTTCCGGACAACGACGGGGCTTGATTCTGCAGTAGATCCTGTCCAGATGAAAAATGTCACCTTTGAACATGTTAAAGGAGTAAGTTAAAAAATTTACCCTACTCTCCATTATCTAATTATGTAAGGCCAGTATTTGATTTTAAAGGTGTAAAATAGAAAATAAATATATATTTGTCTCTACCTCCAGTTCCAGGCGCTAAAACTCTTGTAATTCCCTAAGTGACAAGAGCATTGGGTGCATCTTTGGTTCTATAGTTTGGTCTTTGATCCTGATGTCTAACACAGGGCTTCTAAGTCCCTAGGAATTTCCTGGGTGATAGCACTGTCTTTTGTACTGAGGCCACTCTGGGTGGGCTTCTGAATCGGGGCTGGACACTAGAACAGACCAAGCCATGATTAGAACCTTGGACCTTTTAGCTTCACCGCATATTCTCCAGACCTCTTTTAGATACTGGGATAGAATAAATAAATCTCTGCTGTCATGGATTTTTAGTTCTAACAGAAACTAGACCATGATATTGTATATAAGGAAATACTAGAGTATGTTCAAAAGTGATGGGAGAAAGACAGAGCAGCATAAAGAGGATTGGGAGTTTTGAGAGAAAGGTCACAGTTTTAAATGGGGATATTCAGTGTATGTTTGATTGAGAAGGTGACATTTGAGTGAAGATTTGAAGATGATGGGGTAAACCATGCATGTATCTTTTTTTATAAGATTTTATTTTTAAGTAATCTGTACACCCAATGTGAGGCTCGAACTTACAACCCTGTGATCAAGAATCACATGCTTTACTGACTGAGGCAGCCAGGTGTGCCTAAACCATGCATGTATTTGAGCAAAGAACACTTCTAGCCAGAGAAAGAGAGAAAAAGATCCTGAAGAGTTAATGTGCCTGACTTGTTTGCCGACCAATAAAAAGGCCACTTTAATATAGAATAGAATGAGAGCTCTTCCTTTTTCCACACTCTTCCCTATCTATGCATAAATATTTTTCACAACCTCGACTATTAGGGAATTAAGTATCAGGGGTCACTATGATAGTTTTATACCAAGTATTCCTTCCCTTCCCTTTGCAATTTAAACAGCTGTGAATCCTCTTGGAGTTGCAGAAAGAGAATAATTGGGGAAGAGGTTAGTGCAGTGAGTATTTGAAAACTTGACTCATTAGTGCAGAGGGCTCTTCCCATTTTGTTTAAGATGTGCAGTCAGCCTGCTCTACATTGAACCTGTGCTGAGATTATGGTCAGCAAGGCATTCTTACTTTCTCCCTGCAGTGTATATACTTCAGTTACTCAATATACTACACTTCTTTTGGAATGAGTCCAATTCTGATTACGAAGCTAAAGAAGACATGCTGATAATACTAGAAATGGGGACATCACAAAGTTTTTAGATTGTCACAGTTTCCTGTGCTAATCTAAACAAATATAATTACTGTTATAATTTTATATTGCTCTCATTGCTATAAAATCTAAATTTATGTACACCAAAGTAATTTATAACATTTACTAAAATAGGTATGCCAGTAGGTGGTACCTGTGATCAGTTTTACCAAATCTTAAAGAGCTAGTATAGGAATGTCATTTCCTTGCCTAGAATTTCTGGTTATGTAGGAATAATTTTATATATAGCTGCCATAAAAATACTAATAAGGGCTTTTATAACTTTATTCATTGCCTTGTTCCCTAAACTCTATTTTCCTGTATAGATTTTATATACCTCAATTGGTAATTTTCCTGACACAGAGTTTGGGCAGAGAAAATGTAGTTTGATTAGTAGGTGACAGCTAATTTGTTTTCCTTTTCCTCCAATGGAAAGTTATTTGTTACCTTGACCAAATGTACTTTGGCCTTCTTTTAGTATATGGGTATCTTTGAATGTTTAAAAAGCTTATTTTAATAGATAAAGAGCCAAATCTCTTTTATATGTATATACATATATATTTTTAAAGATTTTTATTTATTTGAGAGAGAGAGCAAGCACGAGTGGGGGAGGGGCAGAGGGAGAGGGAGAAGCTGAATCCCGCTGAGCAGGGAGCCCAATGTGGGGTTCGATCCCAGGAGCCACCCAGGTGCCCCCCAAATCTCTTTATAAACATAAATTTTATTGAAGCTTAGCATTCACACAAAACTGCACAAATCACAAATCTATACCTTAATAAATTTCACACAGTGAACTCAGTCTATTATTGGCACCCAGCTCAGGAAATAAAATATTACCAGAAACTTCCTAGTGTCCCTTTTTCCCACTGCAAGCATAATCGTTGTTCTGTCTCATAACATACATTAATTTGGCCTGCTTTTGAATTTTACATAGTTTATATGGCTTCTTTGACTCAACATGATGTTTGTGAGATCCATCCATGTTTTTACATAAAGTTGTACTTCATTCATTCCCATTGCATAGTATTCTATGAATATCACAATATTGCATATTCCACATTAGGTAGAAATTGGGTTGTTCCTAGTTTTGGCCTAAAGAGTGCTATTGTGAATTTTTTTTACGTTTCTTGGTGAACATATGTACGCATTTCTCCTTAGGAGTGGACAGAGCTTTACTTACAACTGTTAACTTTACAAACATTTTATTAAGTTTTAATAATGTAATCAATAACTTTCAAAGACTATTCTAAGCCTAATTTAAAAAACCGTTTACTCTTTAATGATTGTATACTTCCTAGAAATCGTCCTAGAAAATTATCTAGGAATCTAAGAGAATCATGAGTTTAATTCTAGATTTTAATAATGCCCTTCAGCCCAGAGATGTTTCATGTTTTAGTACACTTCTTGTCAGGTAGTTTCTTTTTAACCCTGACCAATGTACTTGAGTTCTTTTTTTCCCACTGAGAACTATTTAAAGTTGTCTAATGTAGGGTTGCAAATTGGCTACAAATGTATGATTAGGCCAGTGTAATTCAAAATAAATACATGAAAGTACACACATAAATGTGCTTTTAATTTAAATTGATAGCTAACATTTTTAATGTCTGGTTTTTTTTTCTTGAAAAATTGAAGTCTAGAACACTAGGTCTATATTCTGTGGTAGAGTCAAGTCATGGTGGTTTGTCCTCTCTAAGGGTCTTTGCTTTCCAGTTCAGCATACTGCCACCACTGTTATTTTATATCTGGTCTTCTGCACTCATCTTTGATATCATTCTGGCTCTAGGTACTTGTATTTGTTACTTCTGGTTGTATGCTAACTAATTTCTGATAGGCAGCTTTTTTTTTTTTAAGATTTTTATTTATTTGAGAGAGAGAGATCATAGAGGGAGAGGGAGAAGCAGATCTGCCACTGAGTGGAGGGCCTGATATCCAGGGACCCTGAGATTATGACCTGAGCCGAAAGCAGACGCTTAACCAACTGAGCCGCCCAGGCACCCCTGATAGGCAGCTTTCTTAATCTTATATCAGAGTTTTTAAAGTTGAGCTAATACTCTCCATGCCATCTTTCTTGACCAGATTGGGCTTTATTCTTGCGAGAGACCTTAATTCTACATGGTTTTTGTATTTGGGGGATTAAATCTTTTGAACATTTTTTGCCAGAACCATTTACAAAGCAGTATCAGTGCACTTTGGCTTAATTTTAGTCTCCACCCTTTGGCATTTGTAAGGAACTAAGTCATTTATAATCTAGTGGTAATTCCTTATAATGAAAATAATCTAATAATTAATCATAAATTAATGTTATAACTTAAACACAGACTCCCTTTTCATTGATATGTATTAAGCTCACATAATTTGCCCTTGAAGCTTATAAACCAGGTCAAAAGTTCTGGATTTGAAACTTGGTAGGTGAGTCTTTCTGTTTATACCAAATGCCGCTGACACATTCAACTAGAGTTGTGAATATAAGTCCTTGTTAACTGGGGGAAGCACTACTTGAAAATGTAAGAAGTTGGGGCACCTGGGTGGCTCAGTCATTAAGCGTCTGCCTTCGGCTCGGGTCAGGATCCCAGAGTCCTGGGATCGAGCCCCGCATCGGGCTCCCTGCTCTGCGGGAGACCTGCTTCTCCCTCTCCCACTCCCCCTGCTTGTGTTCCCTCTCTCGCTGTGTCTCTTTCTGTCAAATAAATAAATAAAATCTTAAAAAAAAATGTAAGAAGTTAATGTTTTTTGTTGAGATATGTAAGGAGACCGCATAATTGGCAAAAAGAGTTGGGTGAAATCCCTTTTGTGTGTGCATTGATAAGGGAGCCTTCAAGTTAATTTCCAGTTAAATTTACTATTTTCAAAGAGGAGGCTTTGATAATCTAATCATTACTTAAAATTGTTTGATAAATTATATCACTTTAGGTGGAGGAAGCTAAACAAGAATTACAGGAGGTTGTTGAATTCCTGAAAAATCCACAAAAATTTACCATGCTTGGAGGTAAACTTCCAAAAGGTAAGATATCTTCCCTTTACCATGACTTGACGTCAAAAAAATACTGTAATCCATTACTAATTTAATCTTTACCAATTTAAAAGCTTAAAGTTTAGTTCTTAATTGCTATTTTACAAATAAGTCTTCATTCTGAACGTTATATAACCTTTTTTGAGGGGAAGGGGATTTTGAGTTTTGTTAACAATTTCAGTTGTGAGAATAGTGCAGAGAACTCTCTGTACTCTTAACAAAACTCAATAGTTTTTTAGCACTTTGTCCCATTTGCTCACTTTCTTTACATAAATGTATTTTTTTTTTAAGATTTTATTTATTTGACAGAGAGAGACACAGCGAGAGAGGGAACACAAGCAGGGGAGTGGGAGAGGGAGAAGCAGGCTTCCTACTGAGCAGGGAGCCCGATGTGGGGCTCGATCCTAGGATCCTGGGATCATGACCTGAGCTGAAGGCAGATGCCTAACGACTGAGCCACCCAGGCGCTGCTACATAAATGTATTTTTAAACTGTTTAAGGGTAAATTGTAGATATCATGCTCCTTTAACCCCAAATATCTCATTATGTATTTCCTATAAATAAGAAATTCTATTATGTAACTCCAACATAGTTATTAAAATGAGGAAATTTAACATGGTTTCAGAACTATGATGAAATTCAGTTATATTCAAATTTCTGCATTTCTCTTAATAATATCTTTTGTAGTGGGGTCCTCCCATCCCCCACCCCCAACCCCAGGTTTAGACTCAATCCAGGTTTACACATTTAGATTTTTCTTTAATCTTTTTTTTAAAATCAATTTCTTTTAGAGAAAGAGAGAGAGAGGTAGAGCAGGTGGGGGGAGGAGCAGAGGGAGAGAGAGAATCCTCAAGCAGACTCCCTCCTGAGTGCAGAGCAGCCATGGGGCTCAATCCCAGGAGCCTGAGAGCATGACCTGAGCCAGAATCAAGGGTTGGCTGCCTAACCTACTGAGCCACCCAGGCACCCTTAGATTTTTCTTTTAACCTGAAAAAATTCCTCAGCCTGCCTGTCTGTCTTTCTGTCTGTCTGTCTAGCTAGCTAGCTATCTGTCTATTTATTTATGTGAGAGAGTGAGCACACATGCAAGCACAGGAGTTGGTCTGGGGGAGGGCAGGAGGAGAGAGAATCTAAAGCAGACACTGAGTGTGGAGCCCCACGTGGGGCTCAATCTTAACGACCTTATCGTGATCTGAGCCGAAGTCAGATGTTTAACTGACTGAGCCACCCAGGCTCACCTCCTCAGCCTTTTCTTATGGGAGTGTGTGTGGATCTTTCAAGACCTTAAAAATTGTGCAGAATACATACTAATTTGTGGAATGTTCCTCGGTTTGTCTTTGTCTCATGTTTTCTCACAGTTAATATGATTTTTAATGACTCTTGTGATTTATAATAAGAAATATATATTTAGTGTTAGTCCCGTTCTTGTAGTTTCATGGTGATGACAGCAATAGATTTGTCTTCTGTTGTGTTGATGAGGCGACTTTTAGAACACACCTAAGGTTAGGAGCTGGTTGCCAGGAGAATCAGCCATGTGATTAGAGGGCTGGAACTTTCAGTCTTACCCTCCTGACTAGGAGGGGAGAGTGGCTGGAGGCTGAGTCAGTCATGCCTATGTAATGAGGCCTCCACTAAAACCCAAAAGGATAGGATTCAGAGAGCTTCTAGGTTGGTGAACATGTGGAGATGTGGGAAGAGTGGCATATCTAGAGAGGGCATAGCAGCTCAGCAATCCTTTTCCCTTTCCTTGCCCTATGCATCTCTTCCATCTGACTGACTGTTCCTGAATTGTATCCTTCTCTAATAAACCAGTAATCAAGTAAGTAGAATGTTTCTCTGAGTTCTTTGAGCTATTCTAGCAAATTAATCAAATCCAAGGAAGGGGTCCCTGGAACTTCCTGTCTATGATCTGTCAGTCAGAAGCACAGGTAACAACCTGGTCTTGCAAATGACATCGTGAGGGTTGGGGATAGAGGCCGTCTTTTGGGACCAAGTCCTTAACTTACAGTATTTGATGCTATCTCCAGGTAGGTAGCATGAGAATTGAGTTGAATATTAAGATGCCCATCTGGTGTTGGAGAACTGTTTGTGGGTGTGAGGGAAAACCATATGCTGGAACTGGGTACAAGTATGATTTTGTGGTGTCCTTGTACCGTAGGATTGTACTATACTTTAACCACTTATATTAAACTTTTATGGTTTCCAATGTTTTGCTCTTAAAATTAGCAATGTGAGGGCTGGGCAAAATGGGTGAAGGGGAAAGGGAGAAACATGCTTCCAGTTGTCGAATGGGTAAGTCAGAGGAATAAAAGGCATAGGAAATATAGTCAGTGATACTGTAATAGTATTGTATGGTGACAGATGGTAGCTACACTTGTGGTGAGCACAGCATAATGTATAAACTTGTCAAATCACTATGTTGTACATCTGAAATTAATGTAACTGTGTATCAACTAAAACAGTTTTTAATTAAAATAATAAAATCAGCACTGTGATAATCATCTTAATATCTCAAGGCTTTGCCCACATGCTTAATTATCTCCTTAGAATAAATTCTATATTTACTCATTTATTTATTATTATTCTAGATTCCAATTCTAGAAATGGAATTGGTGAGTTAAAGGGGGGACTCATATTTAAGGTTTGTTTTTATGCTGCCCACTATCTCTACTGACAGTGTTCAGCAGTATATAAAAATGTTTGCATGAATCTCTGCTAATTTGGGATTCATTTATTAAAGTCAATACTATAACATCATAAAGAACACGTTTAAAGTCATAAAGTAGTTACACTTTTTCTAATCACAAGGGATATTTTATAAAATTGTGGGAAAATTCTCAGGTACCAAAATAGATCCTACAGAAATTGATATGATGATTTAAACCAGCTAAGAGTAACAATAACATGGCAATACAAGAGGATAGTCTTAAGGGTATTTTTCAGCAACTTTCCTTTAAAAAGAGTTTTATGTTAAAATATAGCATTAATACAGTTTTTTTTTACATGAAAAATGAAAAGTTGTGGAAACCAGAGAATTCTGTTATTCCCACTTATGAAAAACATACTGCTGTTAGGAAGATTTTCAAACATATGGAATAGTTACAAAGCTGTAGACATTAATTACTTTATACATCTAAATACTTTGCTGTGTATCACCTAAGACTAAGGACATTATCCTAAAGAGAATAATTTATCCTACCAAATAAAACTAAATACTGTTTCCTTAATATCTTGTACTCCAGTATTTTTTCAAATTTGCATCAGATGTCCCTAGAATTTCTTAAATGTTTTTTATGGAAGAGCATCAAGTCAAGGGTTCATGTGTCACATTTGGTTGTTTAATCTCTTAATCTGTGTTTATGTGAGTTTTATCTTGTTTAGTGATAAATAAGTTTATTATATTCCATTCGCTCAAGATAGAAATGGTAGAGAAAAATTAGTTTTGAAGATCCTGAAGTGAATCATTACTAGAGACGTATGTTTTGTTTCAAAATATTGGTCATGTGCCTTCAACCTCAAAACTATATATACATTAATTAATAACTTTTATAGGTTCACATCAGGGTTTATTTTTATTTTTTAATTTGACCCATTCTATTTATTTTTTCTTTTAGGAATACTTTTAGTTGGACCACCAGGGACAGGGAAGACACTTCTTGCTCGAGCTGTGGCTGGAGAAGCTGATGTTCCTTTTTATTATGCTTCTGGATCAGAATTTGATGAAATGTTTGTGGGTGTGGGAGCCAGCCGTATCAGAAATCTATTTAGTATGTTTTAATGTATCTCTCATATAATACGAAATTTTGTTAATTTAAGGGAAAGAGGGCTTCTTACCTTTTATTTGCTACTTGATTATGACTGATAGCTGACCTAGCCATTGTGGGGTTTTGGTTTTAGGTAATTTAATGTGTGAGCTAAAACAGAACCGTGCTTTTTCCCCAAATAGAAGAGCTAGAAGTGTTAGATGAGGTTGGGGCCTGTTGAAAAGCTGGGTTTTTTTGTTGTTGTTGTTATCCTTTTTATCTTATTCATCAATTCAATAGCATGTAATTAAAGAATAATTAGCCTCCAGTCTGATTGTATATGGTTTGTACAGTGGAAGAATGAATACTCAGTTTTTATTATATATCATTTTCTATGGTACATTTTCTATGGTTTCTACTGTTCTTATATCAGTTTTAAAAGAAAGAAAGATCTCCTTTTGTGTATTTTCTCCTTAATGAATGTCTTCTGTTGGCTTTTGACAGGCTTACAGGTTTTTAATACTTACATGATTTTGTTCAAAAAGTATTGATTTCATTAAACTTACTTGAATCTTTTCTCTTTTCCTAGGGGAAGCAAAAGCAAATGCTCCCTGTGTTATATTTATTGATGAATTAGATTCTGTTGGTGGGAAGCGAATTGAGTCTCCAATGCACCCATATTCAAGGCAGACTATAAATCAACTTCTTGCTGAAATGGATGGGTAAGTGAATCGTCCTCTGTCTTTGGTATATGGTGATATATTTGGTAACATTCGAGAAATAGCGGGGTGTCTGGCTGGCTCAGTCAGTGGAGCATGCAGCTCTTGATCTCGTAGTTGTGTGTTTGAGCCCCACATGGGGTATAGAGATTTCTTAAAAATAAAATCTTAAAGAGAAAGAAATAGAAAAAAATGTAGGCAACAGAGTAGTCCCTGTGCAAGAAGTCAAGACAAGCTGCATTCTCTGTATTGTGTTCTTTGCATTACTAATGGAGTGATTGACATATCAACTCTTCTTAATTGGTGATCTCTATACCTTTTTTCATTAATTGTATGATGACAGGAAAGTGATGATTCCAGTTGAGAATACTAGTCTATTTGGAGATGTAAAGAGTGTATGCTGGTTCCTACACAATTTGTGACTAGGTATTAGTGTTGTGGTAGATTAAAAGTTTGTATCAGTTTTTATAATATAAAGAGCAAGATGTGGGATTGCTTTGAAAGAAGGAAAAACTTCTTAAAACCATATAAGACATTTTGGAACCAAACAGGAAGTCTAGGAGGAAATAATTTGAATTGGTAAACTTGAGAATAATTTTTCACAAATGAGTCAGGTACCCAAGCCTTTTCTTTTTTTTTTTTTTTTTAAGATTTTATTTATTTATTTGACAGAGAGAGACACAGCCAGAGAAGGAACACAAGCAGGGGGAGTGGGAGAGGGAGGAGCAGGCTCCCCGCCGAGCAGGAAGCCCGATGCGGGGCTCGATCCCAGGACCCTGAGATCATGACCTGAGCCGAAGGCAGATGCTTAACGACTGAGCCACCCAGGCACCCCTACCCAAGCCTTTCCTGTCAGGTCATGTCTTCCTAAGTAGAACAAATACCGTGAAGGCATGTAATCATAGATGACTTTGTGACTTATTATTAGCATTTTTATTGAAGTGTACTGGCCTAATAACATGTGTTCCTTTTAAAAAATAATAGAGATGTCTTATCACTTTGGGTATAAAAAAGATCAGTCCCTCTTCTTTGCTGTTACTAAGTTTAATGATAAACAGTTTTGTGTAGAGCATTTCTATATGTGTACTCTTAATGTTCAGTGAAACGTTACTTTTTTCTTTTTTAATAGTTTTAAACCCAATGAAGGAGTTATCATAATAGGAGCCGCAAACTTCCCAGAGGCATTAGATAAGTACGTATTAAAAGACTTTTTTGACAAGTACTGATGCATACTGAACCATGGATGAACTTTAAAAGAGAAAGAAGCTCATCACAAAACATCACATATGATTCTTTTTATATGAAATGTCCAGAATAAGCAAATCGGTGGCAACAGAAAGTAGATTAGTGGTTGCCAGAGGGTGGGAAGAATGGAGAGTAGTGGCTGTTGGTGGCTGTGGGGTTTCTTTTGGGGTGGGGGAATAAAAATATTCTTGAGTTAGATTGTTGATAATTGCACAACTTTGAATATATTAAAAACCACTGGATTATCTACTTGAGATTCTGTGATACATGATTTAAATTTCAGTAAAGTCATTAATCTTCTGACAACTTTATATCACAGAATTTGGGGGTGGTGGAGAGCATTTTTAAAATAAAATTTATTAGAGTTTTAAATTTTTGATTTTATCATAGAAGTTACTCATATTTTAATTTGATCTAATAGTTTTATCTTTGCCTAAGTCTGTAGTTTAACATTCTGTACTTACAGCAGTTGTGATAGGAAGCTATCACAGGGTAGCTCTCATAATAGACTGCTCTAGAATTATTTTTCCTTGAGTGACTGGCTTGCGTGTTTTTGTTTTTGAGGGTTGTGTATTACCTCTCTCTGTCAACCTTTGTTCTGCCTTCTGGTTATTGAAACTGTTACTTGAGTCATGTTTTACAAGGAGTTATCTGAATATTTATGTTCAAAACTCCAATCTAGGGTGAAATAGGTGATGGGGATTAGGGAGTGCACCTGTTGTGATGAGCACTGGGTGATGTGTGGAATTGTTGAATCACTATATTGTATACCTGAAACTAATACAGCACTGTATATTAACTGTCCTGGAATTAAAATAAAAACCAAAACTCCAGTCTCACCTCTGGTTGCCATTATCCTTCCATCTTGACTTTAGAGTGTCAGTCCTATTTAATTTGACCTTCAGTGTACTCAGATTATTAATTTATATTTTCTTCTTCTCCCTTTAGTGCCTTAATACGTCCTGATCGTTTTGACATGCAGGTTACAGTTCCAAGACCAGATGTAAAAGGTCGAACAGAAATTTTGAAATGGTATCTCAATAAAATAAAGTTTGATCAGTGTAAGTCTGATTCCAGTAATAAACTTTATTATTATCTCTATAAAATGGTAATATTTTATTCTGCCCTGTTTGTGGTTACTTGACAAATGTCTCAAAAGACCAGTTTTTTATATGTCCTTTTTTCCTCTCCATTTATATGTCCTTTTTTTAAAGATTTTATTTATTTATTTGACAGAGAGAGACACAGCGAGAGAGGGAACACAAGCAGGGGGAGTGGGAGAAGGAGAAGCAGGCTTCCCACAGAGCAGGGAGCCCGATGCGGGGCTCGATCCCAGGACCTTGGGATCATGACCTGAGCCAAAGGCAGATGCTTAACAACTGAGCCACCCAGGCACCCCTTATATGTCCTTTTTAAAAAGTTTATTTCTTGGGGCACCTTGGTGGCTCAATCTGTTAAGCAGCTGCCTTTGGCTCAGGTCGTAATCCCAGGGTCCTGGGATTGAGCCCTGAATAGGATTTTCTGCTCAGCAGGGCAGTCTGATTCTCCATTTCCCGCTGCCCCTGTTCATGTTCTCTTTCTCACTCACTCTCTCAAATAAATAAATAAAATCTTTAAAAAAAAAAAGACTGTTTTCTTTAGATTACTTAGATAAATAATACTTGAAGAAAATTTATATATAACTGTTTTTAAGATGAATGTAATAGTAGAAAAAACACATATAATCACTTTGGGCCCAAAAGAAGCAAACTGTAAAACAAAACATATGAAAATATTATGGACCCACTTAAGTAATAAATGTAGCTATTAAGCTGCAGTATTTTCAAAGATAGGTGAATCAATTTGTAAAACCAGATATGTTTCTTATAATGGGAGCTTTTATAAATGTACATAAAATACTGAATACTTATGTATAAAGTATTTCAAGATGAAATTCAGAAAACAAAATGTCTTTTTTTTTTTTAAAGATTTTATTTATTTATTTGACAGAGAGAGACAGCAAGAGCAGGAACACAAGCAGGGGGAGTGGGAGAGGGAGAAGCAGGCCTCCCGCTGAGCAGGGAGTCCGATGTGGGGCTCGATCCCAGGACCCTGGGATCATGACCTGAGCCAAAGGCAGACGCTTAACGACTGAGCCACCCAGGTGCCCCAATAAACTGTTGTCTGAGTATACATTTTCAGTTTGTGCTTAGGCTAGTAACAATTTAGGTTATAATTTGAAGGTCTGGCAACTCTGAATTTCTTTGTTTTTTTTTTTCCACAAAGTTCTTTAAGAACTTCTGTGATTTGTCCCACTGGTAGTTTTAATGATATATTTAATGGCAATTTTGGCTTTTTCCTCTAGAAAAATAAGTTTATTTTATAGTTACAGTGAAATAAATATTTTAAGTTCTAGTTCAGGATAGCTGTTTTCTTTTTTCTTTTGGAATGCGAGTTGTTTCTGAAGAGCTGTTCTGGAATTTTAATATTGTGTTTGTCTGTGTAGCTGTTGATCCAGAAATTATAGCTCGAGGTACTGTTGGCTTTTCTGGAGCAGAGTTGGAGAATCTTGTGAACCAGGCTGCATTAAAGGCAGCTGTTGATGGAAAAGAAACGGTTACCATGAAGGAACTAGAGTTTTCCAAAGATAAAATTCTAATGGGTAGGTTTTCTCTCCCCTTTTTTCTTTTTCCCTGTCTTAACACTGTTCATTATGTTAAAGAATAAATTCTTTTTGAGAAAAAGGTTATAAAAAAGAAAGGTACAGGAGTAAGAAAACACATACTCAAAAATAGCCACACAATTGGGCCTCTTACAGAACAAATATAGTTTGTATGATTATACTCTTTGGGGGCAGGGGTGCCCATGTGTTTCCTCTTGTCTGATATTGCTGATAAAAGAATAATTTTACTAATTTTCAGTATTTGATTTTAAATCTTGAATTGGCTTCAGAACAGGTTAGTTATGACATTTCTTCTTTAAATTTATTTTCTGGAAATAGAATTAAACTTTTTCCTTGTTGATAGTAAGGAGTAAGATGACAGCTCTTACAATTTTGGTTGTCATTTGTCAAGTTATTGTGGTTTAAAATATTTGTTAATGATATTAAGTCATGTCACCCTAAGAATTACTTAAAGGCAAGTGGGTTTCATTCATCTAAATATACTTTCCTAACAGAATAATTTTATTCAGTTAAATTTTTATCCTTAGGGCCTGAACGTAGAAGTGTGGAAATTGATAACAAAAACAAAACCATCACAGCATATCATGAATCTGGTCATGCTATTATTGCATATTATACTAAAGATGCAATGCCTATCAACAAAGCTACAATCATGCCACGAGGGCCAACACTTGGACATGTAAGTATCTTGTAGTTTTTTTTTCTTTTCTTTCAAGTAACACTCTCCAAAAACTTAGGTAGGAAATTATTGATGAAAATAATTAAAAAGAAAATTCAACTAATTCCTAAGTTTGCTGAGAACTTTCTTCTTTAACATTCTGAACCATTGTGAAATCAGAGATACTGGTGAAACATCTGCTAATAAAGAATACTAATATTTCAAATATTATCTATTTACATTATGAAATTTAAATCTGGAATGACAACAAAGTATCATTCTTAAATAGGTAATTGCTCTTTTCCCTCCACAAAGAAACTATGTCAGTGGTTCCATAGTTTTTCTAAGATTTTTCTTATCGAGTACAAGTTTCATTTTCATACCTTTCTAATGATAGACATTTTAAGCATTTTTGTGCACCTGGGTATAAGTCCATCCTCTTGCAGCATCATATACGTATTACATATAAAATGAACTTTTGCCTTATAAAGAATTTTTCTTATTTTGTATATTGCCAGTTTTGTCATTAGTCGCCTGAGACCATCTCTACTAAATTTTTTTGAGCTGTCAGCATCATGATATTAAGTACTATAGCAAGAGCCAAATGATAATTCTGATTATTAATATAGGTATTTCAAACTGTGTCTGAAGTTTTTCTTTGTTTTCAATTGTCTAGGTGTCCCTTTTGCCTGAGAATGACAGATGGAATGAAACTAGAGCTCAGTTGCTTGCACAGATGGACGTTAGTATGGGAGGAAGAGTAGCTGAGGAGCTTATATTTGGAACTGACCATATCACAACAGGTTGGCTGTAAAGAATGGCTTTAGTTCAAATTGTGCTTGCTGATTTAAAAATACTTTAAAAAATTGAGTTCTATGTATATTTTAAAATTTTAGGTGCTTCCAGTGATTTTGATAATGAACTAAAATAGCAAAGCGGATGGTTACCAAATTTGGAATGAGTGAAAAGGTAATAGCTAATTTTAACTCTTCCTCATGTATCAAATGATGATTTGCCAAGTGTCTGTTTATGAGAGAGGGTTCTTTTTTTTTTTTTAAGATTTTATTTGAGAGAGAGCGAGCGAGCGAGCGAGAGAAAGCACGAGACGGGGGAGGGTCTGAGGGAGCAGGGAACCCGATGCAGGACTTCAGTCCCGGGACTCTGGGACCATGACCTGAGCCGAAGGCAGTGGCTTAAATAACTGAGCTACCCAGGCGCCCTATGAGAGAGGGTTCTCATTATAGATTGGTAACATTTACTTCCCGCTCGCCCGTCTCATTTCAAGTAGATTTGTCACAGCTTATTCTAAACTAAACTGTTTTTGTTTTTTGAGTAATAACATATAGTATTCACTTTCCATTCTGGCTGCTTGGACAATAACAGTATCTCATGAGTTAAGCAAATGATAAGATATTCTATTTTCTGTTCTTATGACATAAAACACCTATTTGCTGAGCTTGCTTACTTTACCCTTTCCACATATTTCACTCTCCTACATTATCACTGTGGCTTCATGAGTCATTTCTAATACATTACATTGTGGATTTCTGGATTTGGAATAGCTGCAAAGGTTTTCGAAGAAGGTACTCAGAGCCATACTTATTATTTTAAATTTTTTCTCTTATATTTTTAATTTTAGTCTTATACTTTCAGAAGAATGATGAAATTTCTTTGCCCTCAAGGGTGTTTTTATATTGAATTTCTTCCTTGTCCCCATGATGTTTCCTTAAGTATAGGATAGTACTTCCTCTGTTACATTTATTAGTGGTTTAGGGTTTTTCTGTTCAATTTCTTTTCGTTTGTTTTAGCTTGGAGTTATGACCTACAGTGATACTGGGAAACTGAGTCCAGAAACTCAATCTGCTATTGAACAAGAAATTAGAATCCTTCTAAGGGTAATGATCATATTTTTATATGCTTATTTATTTGTCTGGTCATAATGTGCCTCAATAGTTAGGTACTACCAGAAGATAATGGTTATCCCCTGTTTAGAAATGTCACTATGTATAATAAAGAGAGTAAGTGCACCATTGAAACCATAATTTCAATATGTTGTTTGGGAGCCTCTGGTCATAGACTGAATATTTTATTCTGGCTATAGGCTAGGAACACTTAATATCAGTAATTATAAGTATTCTACTTAAGCTGTAAAACCATAGAGTTGTTAGAATAGGGGTTATTGATTATTTGAGTCTTTATTGGTTTTTACTCTGACATATATTTTATTCAACAAATATTATTTGCTTTGTGCCTAGCTGCCTGCATGTGCTGAGAATGAAGCACAAAGTTCTTTGAAAACAAAAGTCTTTTTGATTGCAGTGTGCAGTATAGAATATGTGAGCATAGACTCAGTGAGATCAGTTGGTAGTTACTGTGGAGTCTCCTCATGGTACAGCAGATGCTTGGATTAGGGCAGTGAGTGTAGAAATTGAGAAAATGCGTTCAAGAGATACTGATCTAGTGGAATCAAAATGCCTTTTTGATGTTTGGGTGAGAGAGCAGCTAAATTAAATACAAAGCTGTTTCTGCCTCATGCAGCTGTATAGTTGTGTGTGCCATTTACTGAGAAAACACTGATGATGGCCTAAGGTGGGGAAGCATGTAGATTATGAGCTGAATTTTATACATATTGAATTTGAGGTGTCTCTTTTTTTAAATTTTATTTGTTTATTTGAGAGAGAGAACGAGAGAGCGAGCATGAGTGGGGTGGGTGAGGGGCAGAGGGAGAAGCAGACTGCCTGCTGAGCAGGGATTCTGACGTGGGGTTTGATCTCTGGACTCTGGGATCATGACCTGAGCTGAAGGCAGACGCTTAACCAACTGAGCCACCCAGGTGCTCCTGAATTTGAGGTGTCTTAGTGAAGATTTCAAGTTGAGGGAGCTACGTGGACCTGGTGCTTAGTGCAGAGGTTCGATATGTGCATTCCATTTGGATGTGCATGAAGGCAGGTCTTGGAATGGAAAAGACAGAGCTAAATTCCAGAAAGTCTAGTGAATGAGAACTGTAATTAGGGTAGTAGATTGCAAAATCAAGGATGTTGAATAGGGCTACAGTCAGATGGTGTAAACTTCAAAGGAATCGTGCTTTATGGAAGAGGGTAGCATAGTAATGGTCTGTCAGCGGTGAGGGGAACAAAGAGTTCACCTCTTTACCCTGAAATGTCTGGGATAAGAATCAATAGCTGCCACTTGAGGGCTCAGGAGTCTCCCCCAGGAGGGCGAGGTTTTGGTTAACTTAAGGAGGTAGAAAACGGTTTAAAGTCATTGAGTATATGAAAAGTTTATATAATGGAAAGGTTTAGAAGGTGTTTCAGAAGAGGAATTCTCTCTGCCTTCCTTCCCTGAATCTTCATTCTCTTTCCTTTACTATTTATGTTGAGTAAATCTATACTCTAGTATTCTTAGGGCATTGGAAATACTCTTTCTTTGCTCTAGTACTTTTCTGAAATGTTAAGATTGGGAAGGGTGTAGGTAGTGGCCTGCTGTTCTACCCTCTGAACCTAAGTCATGATTCTTTATCATGGAGGGTAGCATGTGCTTACAGCTGAATAGTTTTATCATTCTTTTTCCAGCCAACGGTGTATGAGAATTCCAGTAGCTTCACATCCTTGCCAACTTTTGGTGCTGTAGTCTTTATTTTTAGCTATTCTGGAGGGTATGGAGGGGTATGTCATTATGGTTTTAATTTTAGTCCCTGATTACTAATGATGTTGAACACTTTCTGGGCTTGTTGACATTTGGATATCTTCCTTTAAGCACCTGCCCGGATTTTTGACTACTTAAAATTGGGGTTTTTGTCTTTATTATTGAGTTGCAGGAGTTATATCTTTTTTATATCCTGGATATCAGTCTTTTATGGTTGCGTATCCATTTTCATAGAGTGCTCTTTGATAAGCAAAGTATTACATTTTGGTGTAGTCATATTTATCTTTTTTTTTTTTTTTTATTGTCACTGCTTTCTGAGTCTTGTCTAAGAAATCTTGACCACCTCTAGGATGTGAAGATATAGTTCTATATTTTCTTCTAGAAATTTTATGGTTGTAGCTTTTATATTTAGGCCTATGATCCATCTCTCGTTTTTGTGAATTGTGTGAAAAATACTTTCTGGAAAATATAAAATTTTTTCCCCATATGGATATCCAGTTGTCCCATCATTTGTTGAAAATGCCATTGCATTACATTTGTATCTTTGCTATTCAGATTGCCATTCAGATGACTGTATAAATGGTGGTTAGTTTCTGGGCTTTTTTTTCCTGTTCCACTGATCATTTTTGTTTTTTTAAAGATTTTGTTTATTTGACAGAGAGAGACACAGCGAGAGCAGGAACACAAGCAGGGGGAGTGGGAGAGGGAGAAGCAGGCTTCCCGCGGAGCGGGGAGCCTGATGCAGGGCTCGATCCCAGGACCCTGGGCTCATGACCTGAGCCGAAGGCAGACGCCTAACTTCTGAAGCACCCAGGCGCCCCTCATTTTTTTTTTTATTAAAGATTTATTTATCTTAGAGAGAGTGCGTTTAAGAGTAGGGGGAGGGGCAGAAGGAGAGGGAGAGGGAGAGAGTCTCCAGTAGACTCTCCGCTGAGCACAGAGCTCAATGCAGGGCTTGATCCCACAACCCCAAGACCTTGACCCTGAAACCTGACCTGAGCCAAAACCAAGAGTTTGTCACCTAACCAACTGAGCCACCCAGGTGCCCCACCACTGATCAATTCTTATGTCAGTTTTAGTTACTTTTTTATTTATTTATTTTTAAAATTATTAACATATAATGTATTATTTGTTTCAGTGATAGTTTTAATTACTTCAATTTTAATTACTGTAGCTTTATAGTAAGTCATGAAGTCACATAGTGTAGGTCCTACAACTTTGTTGTTTTTCAAGATTGATTTGGACAGTTTAGTTCCTTTGCATTTCCATATCAGTATTAGAATCATTTTATCAATTTCTTTTTTTTTTTAAAAGATTTTATTTATTTATTTGACAGAGAGACACATAACTAGAGAGGGAACACAAGCAGGGGGAGTGGAAGAGGGAGAAGCAGGCTTCCCGCTGAGCAGGGAGCCTGATGCGGGGCTCGATCCCAGGACCCTGGGATCATGACCTGAGCCGAAGGCAGACGCTTAACGATTGAGCCACTCAGGCGCCCCCATTTTATCAATTTCTATGAAAAAGTCTGTTATGGTTATGACTGGGATGACATTTAATCTTTACATCAATTTGGGAAAAATTAACATTTCAATGGTATTGACTCTTAAAATCTATGAGCATGGTATATCTCCCTTTTTACTAAGTCTTAGTTGCTTTTAGTACTGTTTGTAGTTTTCAGTGGGGAGATCTTATACATCGTCCATTAAATTTATTCCTAAGTATGCCTTTTTAACTCTATTGTAAGATGGAGTCATCATTTTTATTGTTATTTTGTATATAATGTGCCATTTTTCTTTGTTTCCCAGATTTTCTCTTTATTTTTGTTTTCAGCAGTTTGCCTGCAATGTGTCTAGGTGTGATTTTCTTTGTGTTTATCCTGCTTGAGGTTTTCTGACCTTAAATCTAAAAAATTTATTCCTGTCACCCAATTTAGGAAATTTCAAGTCATTAAATTTTTTTGTTGTTGTTTTTGCTTTCCATTCTCTTTAACCTCTTCTTTTGGGACTTCAATTATATTTGTGTTAGCTGTTTTTATATTATTCCACAGGATCCTGAGACTCTTTCATTATTTTCAGTCTGTCTTTTTCTCCTCTTCAGATTATATAATTTCTATTGCACTATCTTCAAGTTCACGGACTCTTTTTTATCTTTAATTTTGTATTTTGTGAACAGGATTGATAGATGATTTATGAGATTCTGTGTTCAAGAACAGTTCCTATTCTTTTGTAAGTGTAGTGAGTATGGTTTCTTTACTAGAAGGCAAAAAGCCAAAAAAGGGGACATGGTTGTATGTCCTTTGACTTCTAAATTTTCTCTTGTCTTATAGGGTCTATACTCTGCGCTCTCCGCCCTTCACAGCACAGTTTCAAAAGGCAGCTCATTCCTTTTTGCCATCTTCTCCCCAGAAACATGGGCTTTCAAATACTGCCTCCTTGTGTTGTGTATACACTTTTTTTCCTGGACTGCTCTGACCTACCAGAACTCTCTGTCAGTATCTGCATACTTAGTGTGGGTTTTTTTTTCCCGGGAGCAATTTAGGCCCATCTTAGGCTCTCCATCCTACTCCTCTCTCTCTCCTATGCATTTCTCTTCCCATCTATGTCCCACCTTACTCTCCTTGAAGAGTTAGGATGTGTGTTTGAGAAATATCTCCACCAGAAGTTGATGTTTATTTTTTCTAATTCCAGGCAGTTTGAAGCTTGCAGTATTTTCAGTCTTCTAATTATATTACAAGATATGGGATATTTGTGGTTTTATTTGTTTCTCTTTTTGGTCTGCATTAGATGTATTGGGATATTTGGATTTATGTAGCTACTATATCTGTGGCTATGCAGGAAGTCTTTCCTAACATTTTATTTTGAAACATTTGAAGCCTTTGGAAAAGTTATACAAGGGATGCCTGCATATCCTTCACCTAGATTTATAAATTTGTTACTTTGCTTTATCTTCCTCTCCTCCTCTTTGCACACACACACACATTTTATTAGTTGAATGATTTGAGAGTAAGTTGCAGAAAACATGACAATTCATTCATACTACTTCCTCATATATAAGAACGAGATCATTCTCTTACATAACTGTGACGCAAGTTTAACAACAATGCAATACCATTGAATAATATGCCGTCCATCGTCAGAATCACCTCTGTCCCAGACTATCCTTTACAGCTTTTTTTTTCTGATCTAAAATCCTCTCAAGGACCACACTGTAGTTGTTGTTGTGCATTGTGTGTCTTTAGTCTCTTGATCTA